TCATGTAGTATGACAGTTGTACATATAAAGCACATATCAGGTACTGGTACAACCTCCTGGAACTTCTCCTTTTCTATTTCCTGACCCTTCGTGTTACACATGCAGAAACACAACATTGAAGAGTCCAAGTCCAATTATCAGAGCTGTCAGTTTCCTTTTAGTAACTTTCTTTTTACTACTTTTTCTGCTTTTACATGTGATAATAATGGTTGCAATATCGATGCATGACATATCATTTGATGGTATTACTGATAAATAATACCTTCAAATGTGTTTATTTTGGGGTCTGTACTGTCATTTAATAGAGTCATGTGGGGATACACTGTATTAGCATTAGAAATATGTACTAAAAACACAAGGCTAGTACTGTGCTTACTGTAAAACCACTGATGGTTGGAAAATAAAAACCCTCCTATAAGTTAAGTAATGGATGGAGTAACAGCCAGATGCAGGCAAGAAAAATACATTCAGTTGAGTTTTGAGAAGAGCTAGAGTGGGGGAAGGAAGAAGACAGGAGAGACTTTCTGAGTCAGGAAGGTACACTGAACTTAGAGGGGCTTTCTAAAATGTCAGAAGTTCTGAAGCAGCAAGGAAATGCAGAGCCGGACAGATTTCACAAACGCAGGCTCAAGGAAGGCTCTGGAGAATATGTCAAACAGCACCAGGGTTAGTAATGGAGGTGAATTTCTTTCCCAATCAGCTGTCAAAGTCAGCGTTCTCAAATGTGATGGACAGATGCCATCCTGATAGATGGCAAAGACTGCAGGAGTCTAAATGAACAGAAAGTTTATTTTAAAAAGACAAAGACCAGGAACCTTTATTATGTAATCAGAAATAATTATGGGAAATTTTAGTCTTTTAAACATACTGCTGCATTGCCATCCAACAAGACTTTAACCATAAGTTAAAGTTGTTGCCCATTAGCTGAAGTTTTTTGGTGTGGAAACTCAGCAATAATTATTACACAAAAGCTCTTTCTCTAGATCTCTTGCAGTTCTTGGATCCAGCTGGCTAAAAGCCACCACCTCACCAAAGCTTCTTAGGGTATTTTTGTATGTCCTCATTTTACTAACCTTTGTTGACAAAAATGAACTAAAATTCTGAATGGAAACAGAGTTTATGTCCCTCCATACTTAAAAGCAAACCAAAGAGACCCAGCTGTTCCTTAAATTTACATATAAAATGGTGTATGTCATTGCTTCATCTCAGCTGATTTACCTACTCCTACTACAAGTGTTTTCCTAAAAGCAATAAACCCTTTCAGTGCAAGTATTTCCTTCCAGAACTGTGACATACGCCTGATACATATTTCCTGTTCAAAGCAAACAAGTGCTGAATACAGCTTTTTATATCACTGCAAATATAAACCAAGAACTAGCAATTAGTTCTCAGATCATAGGGGTTTTTTTTCTGAAAATCTAATCTTCTGGATCAGATATCATAGAATGATTTGGGTTAGAATGGACCTTAAAGATCATCTAATTCCAACTCAATAGATCAGGATAATCCTGGACAAATAGATTTGATAAATGACCAGCTAAGTCTAATAGGCCAAAACTCTATTAGATATGTCACAATAAGCATAGCACAAGGATGTGATGTGGTTAAGCTGTGACTCAGTATCATGTCTGTGAACAGTCTATAGATCATGGGCTTCAATATTTTCTCTATAGAAGTTTAATAGTCTTTTTCCCTACATTTTTAAAAATCATATTGCTCAGAAAAATAGGGAGATTTATAACATGCTTATCAACACAAAGCATCCCAGAAGAGGTTTTTAATATTTTTTCCCCCCACAAAAATCTTTATTTCCATAATTATTCAGCAGCTTTGGTAATTTGAAAATTTTATCCACTTCCCATTAATAAATTACTGTGGCAATATGTTGTAGATTTAAAAACAAACTGCTGCCACTTACCGACAAGTTTCTCAGGCTTTTTGACAGCTCTGAATGTGTCTGAAGTAAACTTAGGTTTTCCAAGCGATAGAACTGTGAGAACCGAGTGCTTTGAACAGCAAGAGTGCTGGGGGATTGCAGCTTTATAACCAAGTGGGACCCTGAAGTCTGGCATCGGCTTTCAAGGCCACAGTCATCAGCACCTTTGATCTTGTTATTTGGAATATGAATAGAAGCATAGCACACCCCCAAACCAACAAGAACCGGTCAGATTTACTTACTTATACTGAAGCAGAGCAAACAACCCAATATGACTGTTTCCACAGTACTAGCAGCATCAGACACCACAGTTCAGCCTGCAGCAACAGCTCCCTAACTCTGCTTTGAGGGTGCCAGTTTTGACACTGAGTCTATGACAAGCAAAACAGAGCTCTGATATTTCTTTTCTCCCTATGAAGTTTTAACCATATAGCTATATAGGTATCACCTGCTGCAAATGACAATCTGAAGCTCAGAAAGTTGCCTGTAGTCATCTTGGGAGCCACCGGTACAGTGTCACACTTTGCTTTTTCTACCTGATGATGATAAGACATTTGCATCCTGGATTTATCTGACCAGTTTTGGACTTCTGCATGTTTTGAGGTGTTATTTATCCCAAGAGAGAGATCAGACAAGATACATCAAGTACATATTTTACTTTATCAACCCTAATAGGAGTCAAGGCTGTTTAACTGAGACACAGACGCCTGTGTTGTTAATTGTTCCAGTTAGGGTTCCAGCAGGTATCTCAAGTCATCTAATTTCTCTCTAGCTGCATGTCTCAAAAAAAAAAAAAATGACACAGGGAAAATTATATTAATAAATCCTAAAGCAAGGCAGTGCATTTGTGGAGTACCATGGGATCGATATGAACAGACTAGAAATCAAAGCTTCAGGGACTGTAACTTCCAAGACAACCAGATTCTTCAGATGTTTCTGCTCCTTTGAAGCCATGTCTGTGACTACACTAAAAAATGCTTTAAACATCCAGCTGGTTTACACTCATTAAAATTCACCCAGCTACCACACATTCCAAAGCACAGGAACAGACACACATTTACTAAAATAAATTTACACTAATCTGAACCAAATAAGTACTACTCATTCATGATCAAATTCCACCCCAATGTGAGCAGCCAAAGTGAGTTGAACTTTCAACATAAAGTGTCGCTAGAGTCCTATTTTGAGAATTCATGTATCATTTAAGAATCATGCTGCTTTTCTTCAGTGAGCACAAGCCCACTCCTTGAGATTTATTCTCCCATTTCATGGGAGAAGAGCTGTATGGGCTACTGAACTCTGCCTCCTAAGAACGTTTCACAGATGTGCTGCAAACATGGTTGAATAAGTACTTTCTCAACATATGTGGACCAGTTTTCAACAGCTACTTGTCAAGCATGGCCAGATGGCTGAAGGCATTTAAGCATTACAAGGCCTAAACAAGTAAGCAGCTAATGTCACATTACTCAGAGCACCATCTCCACAGCACTGTCCCCCCACAAAACAAAGCATAAGTTCCTAAATGATCTTGGAGTGTTGCACAGGGAATCCCAACCTAGCACTGAACATTTTAGCCACTGAAATAACTGAAGGTGCATCACTACAGCTTCCACACCGAACTAGACCTTTACCTTTTCTGCATTTCCCTGCGGGAATTACTGCAGCTAGGAGAGCGTACAGAAGGGACATATAAGACATACCACTGAGAAATGTAGATATATCCTACTCTGCTGTGTAGATACAGCCTAAGAACCACAAAATTAGGACTCTAACTCCTTCAACAGCCTTGCAATACTAAATAGAAGACATATTTACAGCCTCTAAAAAAACCTAGTCTTCACAGCCTGAAACCCTACAGCAAGATTGTTTGCCATCTGCCTAATTAAATTGACCATTTGTCCCTATTAGAGGCAGCTGTGCTACTTAAAGCAATTAAGGTGGCACAGGAGGGAAGTGACATTTTTGATTTGTCAGTAGAGTGTGTGCAGCACTGACAGCATTGAAACATTCATAATTTTGAAGGAGTGACATTCTTAAGTATTGTCATATACTTAAGGCATTCACCAAACATGAGCCCGTTCAGAAGTTCAAATTAAAGAAATATGTTTCCTTAAAGATATCCTTCATTCCTATTGAGGAGATTTGCACCAAATAAAAGAATTGTGTCTCTGACAGTGCAAAGCATTCAAAGTCACTGGCCACAGTTTTACTGCATGTGCATTTGCCTTTTGATATAGGACATCTGTGAGCTAGCAACACTAATAAATTTGAATGTTAGCACAGATAATTTTCCAAGTTTTAGGTCAAATGCTATCAAATTTAACATCAGAGCATTAAGATAAAAACAAACCCTTTTGTCATTAGCTTTCTGATTAGTTGCCTGGTTCCAGAACCTGGGACACAGTAAATAGGTTCCTTTTTTTCCTGTAGCATAGTGTGAATGCTTAATGCCCATGGTTATCCTTAAAAATCAAACAGGGAAATCACTGCTTGAGCCCTTGCTAGAAGAGGGGAATGTGATGATTTCAGCATGTTTCAAAGGGACATTTCTAAAATAGCTAACTGTTCTGTAATTTTATCACAGTGTAAGGCCTGAGCTTAGTGGTAAGGTTCCCTGATCTGCAACCCTACTGGTTTTGATCTTGTGAGACTTGACACTATGCAGTGACAGGCCCTTAAGCTAGATACTTTGAGAGTAGTGGTATTTGTGTTTCATAGGCGGCAGCCTTCCCTATGAACAAACATGACAAATGGGCTGCAGCCTTGCCTTTGCCACAGGAAACTGTCCTTTTGTTGGACACAGAGTGCAGCATCCACAGGCACAACCCTTTGCAGGTATAAGACATGAGAAAGAAAGAGTTGTGCCATAGAGGGACAGGTAAAAGAGTCACTGCTGTAGAAAAGGGAGTCGGAGTGTCAGTACAGAATGGCTGTAAGAGCTCCAACAAATAAAATTTAGTGAAGCTGTATGTCACATCTCAGGTCTTGTGCTAGGGTAGCTGTAAGGAAGGTAAAAAAAATGACCTTCTTTTAATGCGTTTCACAAAATGTATTCTTATTTTAGAGTCTACATATCGTCACCAAGCTACCATTGATGATGAAGTGGTTTCCATGGAGATACTAGATACAGCTGGTCAGGTGCGTGGGTACATGTACTATTATCCAATACCTTGACTTGGATGCACAGCAGGGAAGGGGAGTGCGGTGGTGGCAGCAGTGTGGTGGGTGGCAGGTGTGATCCACTTCTGGGGACAGAGATTTGCTTCTAAGCAAAGCCCCCTCTGCTCTACCACCATCATCTTGCTGCTGGACCCAGCATGCTGGATCCAGACCCTTCTGCAAGGGACCCTGCTCAGAGTTTTCAAACAGTGGAAAAACAAACAAGTCAGGGTTTACTCTGGGAATAAAATTATTTTGTTCTCATTCCTTGATTCAGGGCCAACCCAACAATATGTTGTTATTATGCACAAAATCACAGTATATTTCTACAGTCAAGTGATAAGGCTTGACAGCTTCAGTCAATGATTCCCACCAAAGTGAAGAGCAGTTTTGTCATAATCAGGTCTCCCTTCCTGTCAAACCATTGCAGGTGCTCATGCTGCACAGTTTGTATGCTGGGTGTCATTCAACAGAGATCCTCTTCCAGTTACCTGCTATGAGCCTGTCTACAGGCAGCCATGGCACCTTGGTAAAGTAGATCTCCTATGCTACATGATAAAAAAGGTGATGCATGTAAAGTATGAAGTAAAGCAGATGTCCATGGTTTTGCAGGCTTTGGAGGACCAACATCTATCTGAACACCCAGTATCTTCATAAATCAAATTCCTAAGGCTGGTGTCTGTCTTTTCAAAACAGGAGGATGCTATTCAGAAAGAAGGACATGTGCGATGGGGTGAAGGCTTTGTGCTGGTTTACGACATCACGGACAGAGTCAGCTTTGAGGAAGTGCTGCCACTTAAGAACTTGTTGGATGAAGTTAAAAAACCAAAAAATGTCACCCTGATCCTGGTGGGGAACAAAGCAGACTTGGATCACTCCAGGCAGGTCAGCACAGAGGAAGGTGAAAAGCTGGCAACAGAACTAGCATGTGCTTTTTATGAGTGCTCTGCTTGCACAGGAGAGGGAAACATTATGGAGGCCTTCTATGAGCTCTGTCGTGAGGTGCGGCGTCGAAAGATGGTCCAGGGCAAGACTCGGAGACGAAGCTCCACCACCCACGTCAAGCAGGCAATTAATAAGATGCTTACCAAAATAAGCAGCTAAAAGAGCTGCACTAAGCTAGAGAAGCATTTTAGAGCATATTAGCTTGGAGTAGGGACAAGGCAGGCAGAGCACATTTAATTAAAAATGGTCAAAGCTTTGCAATTAAAAATAAATAGAAAAGACAAACCACACCACTCTTTTTTTGAGTAACACAAGGTCAGACCTTTTTCCTGTTTTGAAATGTATTCAGCCACACTGTTTCTGGCTAACATGGGAAAAAAAAAAAAGCGGCAAACTCCAAAGGACTAGATGATTGTGGAGATCGACACTGACAGAGCATCACCTGCTTCTACAAGGCTAGCTCCAGTTTCCTGCAAGTCAGTAGTGCCTAATTTCCAGCAGCTAGCTCCTCAGTAGCCACTGGAGAGTAAGATTCAGTCCTCAGTCCATCAACAACCTTCAAGGTGTTCTGAAGGACTTAATACATGCAGAGGCTCCGGTGTTCGTCTGAAAAGTTCGTCTGACACCTCCCACCAGCTCTAAATTGGTGCATTGTGTGCTTTTACTCCAAACTGTCCTTCCTTGTTATTTTTGTCAAATCTTTGAGTGCTGATGTTCTTAGCAAGGTATGCAAAAAATTTAGGCAAGGTTGATTTCATGAAGTGCTTAGTCAGCAAGACACACATTTCAAAGAGCTGAAGTTCAGCTGCTTATCCAGATCCTCTGAAACTGTAGAACTCATCAAGAAATAATCAGCTAGTCCAGTAGCATTTTGGAATTTCCCCCTCAAAGTGCAGTACTGTATGTGACGAAATGAGAGTGTATATGTTGGGAAATCAAACTAAAAAAATAACCATATTACTATTGATTCAGTTATGGGTGGTTTTTAGCTTTTGTTCACATTTTTGTTTTGGTCTTATTTCAATTCAAGTAGTTCCTCTTACTCTATCTTATACTGAAGAACTGAATCCATGCGAAGGCAAGTGTTTAGAGTCTAAGCCCAAATATAAATCAGATGTGAAGGGCCTCTGCCGTATCAAAAGGCCATAATTCCCAGCTGTTTAAACTTTTAGATGTTGCTTGAAGCACTCTGTGGTTTAAACGAGCACAGTTTTTTTGTGACTCATCTGGCACATTGAAGTGAAAGTGCATTTTATCAGCTTTTGGTGCCTGGGATAAAAGGTGTCCAGTTATTTCTCCTCCCTCCTCCTCCCTCACGCATCTCATTTAAGCCAGCTGTCAAGTTTTGACTCCCGTCTATTTGGTTTGTTAATTGTATGCTAAGAAATGCAAGAACCAAGACTGGAAGATTTTCATTCAGATCGTGCTCATCTCCCACCAGGTGTGTTGCATCCCTTTAGGCAGCATAATGTGCAGCTCACACTAGCATTACATAGAACCACAGGCAAAGGATGCGATCACAAATGAAATATTAGCCCCCTTGTATTGGAAAACCCCCCTTGTAGCAGCTACCTAAATTTTTTTCTCCACCGTTTTGTACTTCATATAGTTATCTGCCTCTGTGAGGAAGTAACACCAAAAAGGTATCAAACACAAATTGCCACAGATGTAGGAGAGTGAGGATATATGGTTGAGTAGCACTTTACACAGTTATAGGTAACCATATAAATGGTGGAACAGGCTGGAGAATCAAGCCTGTATATCCCTGTTGGCAAAGAGGTGTCCCAAGTCAGGACTTTTTTCAAAAGGACTGGCTTCAAGATACTTTACCAAAGTAAATTTTTTTAAACAATCTCTTTTACCCCACCAGCACCAAAGAACGTCACATTCAGATGTATATTTTATTTGTGCTGTTGTTTATTTTCTCTGTTTCCCCTATTCTGGAAAGTGAAAACTCATTTCATTCTTCTGGAATCAATATCTACATTTTGGTCCTCATATTAAGGTATGTTGCTGTACATCAGCTAGACACATTGCAATGGAAACTTCACTGTGTGCTTCTGCAACAGGTGATATCACTGTCTCTGTGACACATCTGTTCCCAAACTGTTCATCGGATCTCTAACTTTTGTAAAAAAAAAAAAAAAAAAAAAAGGGGGGAGGGGTGGGGAGTGGGGTGTTGCCATTTTTTAGTCCTATTAGTAATCAAGATGAGTGTAAAAGAAAGAGCCTGTTCACGTGCCAGTGGTCATTAGCTGAAAGTCTGAATTTGCAAATGTGTATGTTACAACATTAGGAACCAGAGTGAGCATTTGCAAGTTGAGGCACTAAGTCATTATGTTATCTTTCAAATCAGTGCTGTTGCACGAATATGTACTGAACAAAATCCTTACCTGCAATCCCATGGCAACATAGCTGAGAGAAAAGTCTTTATGTCAGTATGCAAAGGAATTGATTTATCACTCTCTAAGACAACTTCATCAGTTAAAAACCTTTCTTGGGGTTCAGAGTTGAGATGCATTTAAAATACAAAAAGGTAATATATGAATGACAAGAGAAATAAATCAATCATATTCATATTAGGAGAGTTAAAAGGAAGGAGAGGCTAAGCTATGGCCCTAATATTTTCCAGAAGATTCCCAGCAAATTACATCTTTTTTTGTAATGTCTGTATGGAGAAATTATAAAATCCTGGTGAAAGAAAATGTTCCCCTGTGCAAACATGACTTGTTACATAAAGAACCTGTAATAAAAATAGCAACATTCATTCGCAAAGACTGAATTTGGAAACTGCCGAACATGATAAACACTCCATCAAAAAGCAGGCTCCTATTTTGTGACCTTTCCTCCCACACAAACACAAATTTCTTTACTTAATTGCTCATTATTTTTGTTTCCTCTGTGTAATAAATAGGCTGCTTGTCAAGATGGTTATAATATAGTATATTATAATCTGTCGATACATATTACATAGTATTAAATGCAACCTGATTTACTGTTGCTCACGATGTTGCAACATACTACTGGCTACGTTATAAACATGCCCTATTTCTAACAATGTGCAAACTGAGCCAAAAAGTGCCCAAGCATTGAAAAGGCCAAATGCAACATGAACTGACATTTATAACCTTTCCGCAGCAGACATAAACAGTTCAAATTCCATTTCTACTGCTGCTATTTAAATTTACATACGTGACACTAACATTAAATTCCTCTCCTCTCCCCGTTATCATTTCTGTGAAGAGAGGATGGAAAGGACGATAAACAAAAAGGATGAGGAAAAATGAAATGGATACTTGTTGCCTACAACAAGTTGATTGTCATGAAGTTTTTAAATATTTATCTTCAATTGATGAAGAGTTAGTCATGCCCATGCTGCAAGACCTGGATCAGGAACCAAGACTTCCCTAGAATTTTGAGAATCTTTGTATCTGGGGGTTCAGTGCAACCACAGATGGAATTGAGGATCAGCCACTGGGTTTGTACCTAGATCCAGATAAGTTGTCCCCAAACCTGGGGATAGTTGCATCTGGCAGTTTGCTACAAGGCTAGTTGATTTTTATATATATAATGATCTGTATGCATTTTTACATTAAAAATATGAAAGCTTGTGCTTGTAGATAATATATAAGAAAAAAAATAAAAAATAGTGCTCTCTGTACTGAACTCTTATGCATTGATCTTCCATTAGTTGTCTCCAAAGTGGTGTCTTACAGCTTTTGAGGGGCCAGTTTTTATTCAATCTTTACCTAAGGAAAATAGTGAATTTTGCCTGAATAAGCACTTCAGCATTTGGATCAGTTTATTTGAACTTACTTGGCTCCTAGGCCTGGAATTGAGAGGTCAGGCAGCATCTACAGTGAAGCACAGAACCAAATGTCCTTGCTAACTATTTCAAGGCTGATCACAAAAGCTACAGTGCCAGGGTTATTCAATGACCTCAGTGAAACCCACCACACAAACTCTGTCCTGCCAACTAAATAACATGGATCTTGATCTCAAGCTTCTCAGGTAAAATCCTGGGCTAAGCAGCCTGGGAGATTTATGCCAACCGTTTGGACAGAGACAGTTTTCCACCTGCTGCCATCTATGCCCATCTTCCAAGGATAATGCACTGTTGTTCTGAAGAGAAGGTACATTATATGTACCTTATATAAGGTACTTTATATCTATCATATAAGGTACATTATAACAATGGTAAGCAATCGTACATACCGTGGATAATAAGCTATATCAGAGTAAGATTCATCGCAGAAGAGGGGAACCAGCTGTAATGCACTCTCTTGTTTTCCTCCAAACCTGTGCCAACCAGGTAGCCCAAAGCATGATCATAAACAGCTGAACAGCAGTGGGGGTATAAAAATGCCCCCCTCTGGCAGAGCACTGCATGAAATCTGGGTGCAGTATGTATGCTGTGGGGTTAAAGCTCCCAAAACTAGGTAAGGCATCCTTCCAGTCACTGCCCGCCTGTGCAGCACTGCAAAGCAGCCTTGAATTATGTCAAGCTGCCCTATAACTTGCTCCAGTCAAAATAATGTCTCCTGCAAAATAAGTAGCTGTAGTCATAAAGGCTGTGTATAAACAGTGTTTGGGATTCCTTTTATCTTTCTCTTTAATGGCTCAATCCATTTGCATATCTTGAGAGGAAAAGAAAAAAGGGAGAGGATTTAATTTAAAAGTCTCCTTGGCATTTTGCTGTATCTGCCTTTATGTTCTTTAAAAAATAATGAAAATAGTGTCATCTTAGAAACTCTGATGTTATGTACTTTATTTCCATTACAGATGCCAGGCACTAATTACTGCAGGGTTATGAAAATACAGAGCAGCCGCTTGTCCTCCTGTGCTTTGCAAGGAGGCGATAAGGATGGCTTGTGCAAGGCCAGTTCAGTCTGGTTTCTGTAAACACAGTTCCACATGAGGAAAGCTATTACTGCAGCCTGCAGCAGAAAGAGACAGGCTAAGTTCCCAGAGCAGGACCCCAATGACTCCAGCAGGGTTATGCATGGATGGCATGGGCCAAGCCCCTGGTTCACAGCCTTGGTAGCCAACATGTGGAGAAAACACTCCAATGGCTAACCTCTCATCCGCTCGAAGGATCTCTCCTCCATTTTTAGTTTGAAGTAGACTGGTAAGAACCTGAGAGGTAAGTTTACACTACCAACTGTTATCTAATAAATCAGAGAATTTGAGTTTTGTCTTCTGTCTTTTTGGACTAGTCTTTCTCACCTCCACTTGATTCCCCAAAGCAGCATTTGTCTTTTCCACTGCTATTGTTTTTAAAAAAAGTCGGGGTTGTTTGTTTTGTTTTGTTTTTTAAATGGCAGGTGTCAATATACACTGATATCCAGGGATGTTTTATGGGCAAAGAGGCT